ATAAAACATCTTCCCATGGTCACTCCTTCTTTCCATGATATTTTTGGCTAGTTACTCCAAAGGACCAGGTCTACAGCATACCTTTCTATGAATCTGTCTCATTTTCTTAATCATTGCAATTAGTGTTGGACTTGTTAAATACATGATATATTGTGTTTCTCATTGTCACAGTCAACCTTCAAGGGATAAGACTATTCAAGGAATTATGTATCTAAAGAAATCGGGGAGGGGGGGTTTTGAGGAAAATGAAGTTAAGTTCTGAAGTCAAAGCCTTTTTTTAGAATGCTCAGGAATTCCTCTAATGTAAATCTCTTCACAACATTCCCTCCAATTAAGTTTTATTCACTCTAGAATTAAATCCAGACCTCAGAAAATGTGAAGTTGAAGAAGACCTGGCTGCAAAAAAAAAGCCAAATTTCTTTTTTTGCCACTAGAAAACAGTATTTGAGTTCTTAAAAGCTGCCAGAAGATTGACCTAGGTTCAGCAAAACTCACACATCTGGGATTTGGGGAAAGGAGCATAGCAAAACCTAGCATCCTGCAGCAAGCAGTCACCTAAAAGACAACAACCTGAAGAATGACAGTCATTCTGAAAACTCCTTGTCTTTAAACAAGGTAAGTTCAGTGATCTGTTGCCCCTAACAGTGAATTGATCAAAAGTGGAGGCAAATCGGTGAAGGTCAGAAAAAAGAAAGGTGATGTCACCTTTTTTCATGCATGAAAAAGGTGACATCACATCTGAATCAAAACTCCATTGTAATTAAGCTAAAATTTTGGTTTCTACCTTTCCAAAGAAAACCATTCAGTATGTATGTTTATATTTGTTTGGTTGGGTTTTTTTTTTTTAATTGATCAAAGGCCTATTCAAACAGCAAAGAAGACAATAATCAGGATTTCTAGTCCACATAAAGAATTGCTTAAAGCTTATTAAGAATTTTTGCACAGGGATTTCTGGAAGATGGTGAACTGGTGAGATGTCAGCCTACACCATCCATGACCAAGGCATCAGGC